GCAACATTTGAGAACTGTGTACTTATTAAATTCATTCTTTACCGTAACATTTTATCACCTAATTCTTTCATACAGTTAGCAGGTTATTACCCTTTCACTTTGATAAAGGCTCAAAGGATTTATTTTGGCAAAAGAACAAAAACATGAATGTATTTGGCAAATGAAAAATACACCCATGTAGTGAGTCATATACTACTGAAAATTAAGATACAAATGATATTTTAACAATAGCATTTTAGTTATGGGATTTTCTACATATGCCTTAATGTTTTTTGTAAGCATACTAAATGACAACTTGGACTCAAACAGCTAGCTGTGGTGTAGGAGTGGAATAACTCATCTTCAAATAGGCACATATTTAGGGCATTCCACTAACACAGCATCAAAAAGTACCCTGGTTGACCAGGAAAACCTGAAGTCTAACCTTACGGCATATTAATTTTTATTAATAGGGGGCAATTCTTGTCTTTTTGTATCAAAGGATCCTATGTCTCCCAACTTCTGAGTCACACCTGGTAACACCTGTCCTGAGCAACCCGCAGAGCAGCCTTTCTCTGGTATCTGAAGGGGATCAGAGGAAGAAAAGGCAGCTTTCACTGTGTGCTTTGATGCACAGTAAGAAAATCAGCAACACAGGTGCTTTCCTTAAAAATGTCTTTAAGCCTCAGAGGTGGATTTACCAGTAGTGAACTCCAGTTTCCTCTCCTCCCCTTGGGAGGGTGCATTCTTATGGTCAAGTGTGTGCTCCATATCACACGACAGGGGAGAACCTCTTTCTTTCCCAAACTGCACTGCAGTAGCTGATAGCTTTGTTTAGACATCAGCTAAATAATCCTATTCTCTCTTCTTTCCCAATCTGCACTACAGTTTTTGCTAGTTTTGTCTAAAGATACCAGCTAGATATAATCCCATTCTGTTAGATAGGTTCATTTAAAATTTTTTTTTCTTGCAATGTGAAGTACAAAAATATTTTTGTGCAACGAGACTGATACCTATGCATATATTTTATTATTTTAATAGTTTTCTCATAAGCACAAACTATCTCCTATTTGCTCCTATCTCTATTTGCTCAGTAACATCTGTCCAGAGAGTTTTTAACACACTAGTAGCTAACGCACATGTCATTGCATTATATATAGCAAATGAGATATTCTTGAAGGTATCCTTGATCAATAATATAACAGAGACTACTGTAGTGAGAGGTAGTATCTTTGGATTAGGCTATCTATCTGAAACAGTGGAAAAAAATTGAGAGGCTTTAAGACAAAACAAAACAACAAAAAATCTCTGCTTCCAGGCTTAATACAAAATATTATCTATTTCTTCATAGAAACTTCAAGGAACTACAAACTATGAATAAATGCTCTAAAGTTGAGTTTAGTTTGTGTATCTCATTTAGACTAATACCTGTACTTACTGGTACTAGAGGAATATGATTTTTCCACTATTGTTTATCTTGGTGAGCACTTATTTATGAGAGAAGTTCCGAGAAAGAGAGCTCCTTCTGGCCTGATGTTCAGAGAAGTGAGACAAACCAAAAGAGCCAATGCAATACAATCGGTCACCGGATCTCACGTAAGCAACAAAGTTTGGGCTGCTGAGCAGAAATTCTTCATAGCATTCTAGAGAAAAATAAATTAGGTTTCAGCAAACTTGCCAGCCTTTGGACCATATGGCCAGGAAGATACAGCCTCTAGGATGAGATCTGTAGCTATTAGCTAGGTCAAGCACAGCTAACAGCCAGAAAGAGCTTGCTGGTGAACTGCAGGGTTACATAGTATTACTGTGAAAAGCTGTAAAAATTGCCATGGATATGGCTCATCCACATACCTGCAATAGTTTCCTTCCCAAAAGCGCATCAAACAGGTTTTCTGCGGATTTCAGTAATAGCCCCTCAGTATCAGTTATTAGCTCTTAGAAAGGGGATAGGATGAAGGATGGCTTGCACATGAGGAGCAATGTGATGTTGAAACAAGTACTAAAATCAAGGTACCGGATCCTTCACCATCTAACCCCCCTCAGAGGAACTACTCTAATTTATACCAGGTCCATTCCCCAGTTTTCTTTGTGTGCCTCCGCTTGCATACTCAGCAGAACCGAAAAAAAAAGCTGAAACATTTCTTGTCAAACTTGTAGACTCTTACAAACTACAGTGAAATCTACATTTTGTATTTATAAAAAAAATAAATTAAGCTATCATTTTTTTGAATGATGAAAAGCTTTTAGTAAGTTGATATAACACACTTATTCCTATATCCCACTATCAGAACACAGGCAAATCATATTGTCTGTAGGAGCTGAATTGGAAGAATGGATTTGGAGTTTATAAATTGTTCCTATCGTAAACATGTATAGTATCACATCAACATGTATGAAAACAAAATAAACTTGGGTATTGCATTGCAAGGGTGATGGGTTATTTTGAAGAGACAAATGTATCATCTGTTGTTCCACCAGCATTTCCACAGCCTGTTCCTGCTGCCCACTATAAAAGTAAACATATCAGCAAACTAAACTTTTATCTTTTCAAAAGATAAAAAGATTTGTTTCAATGACTGCTTCGGCAATGCTGCTCATATAATGGTATCTTTGTTACACTCTGCTAGTCAAGCACAAGGATGCAAGACTGTGCCTCTAGTGACTTGAGAAAGAAATCCTACTTGTGACAAAATCATAAAGTTCTTTTACAGCAGATTTTTTTGAAGAATGGTAAATATTGCAAACTGCACCATATCTATTACTATCTGTCTGCTTTTTCTTGGTGACTGAGAATTTGCAAAACAGAGTCCACTAAAGTAAATAACACGACACCTTCTGTCCTGTCACCCCAATTTTGTTGTCATGCATACACATGCTGAAAAAAACATCCAGTTACCTTCTTAAAAGTGAGTAGTTCACAATGAATTCCCCAAAGCCAGTAAAACAAGTTAAGTGAACTACTTTTTAACATATAATAGAAGAGTCTGGAGGCCAAGCTACTAACCTATTATTAGCTGTTATTGCAAGAGATGTTTCAGGCACTATTCATCTTGGAAGATCAGTCTTCCATGGTTTATTTAGACTTTTAAAGGAGACAAAAATCTGTTTTGAGATATATGCAAGGCTCCTGTTGGCTTCCACTAACCCATTCACTTATTTTTACTCACTTACTACTGTATTTCAAATGCACTGCATGTTGCAAACATCACAGGGCTAATATTAGAGGCAATGGATTTTGTAGCCTTTTTTTTTTAACAGTTGTGACCTGATTGATTTTTAGAAAATGATAAAGAATTAACCATTGTGATTGGCAATTATATATCCTCTAGGCCTTCCTTGGCCCAACAGGATTATAAATAGGAGTACAAATGATTACTTTTATAGAAGTCTTGGAAAAACAAAGCACTTGCATAAAAGCACAGACAATAGACTCAATACTCTGAGTTTTTACCAGTTCTTAAGATGATTCTTTAATCTATTTACAGCAAATTTGGACACTACGTTAGCAATACAATATAATGAGAAGGGTCTAGAATTGGCAATAGCTGCTTCCTTCTAAGCCTGTCTTTCAACACAGAACTCTTGGTTTTGCTGTCAGAAGAGTACTTTACCAGCTCCACTATAGATGGAGGAATATGCTAGCTGTGCATATTATTCATTAATGTAAATACTTCACTGTGGATATTAAATATAACTTCCTCTTCTATGGCTATGTAAAGTAGACAGATCTTACTTCCCAGTATTATAGTAGCAGATGTTGATTCTTACAACAAATTCTTACAACTGAATTCCTATA